CTGCATCATGATCTGCAGAAGACTATATTTTTTAACGTTCTGCGTTAAATGAACTATTTTGACTATCTAAAAAAAAACAATATTCACTATCCGAACTTACCTAAATGTTTATTATCGTTTTTAAGTCCTAAAATGGCTGCTATCGTAAAGGACTTATTGCTGGCAGAGGAGTTACTCCTACATCTGGCGTCCTCGTCTTGCGAAAGATCGTCGCATAAGTTCTGAGTTTGTTGATCATTGTCGTTCAAACGATCCTCGAGCTGGTGATAACTAAGAAAGTGACTCAGAGACGTCGAATAGTTGTAGTGGTGTAACATGCTAAGAACTAAAGTGCGATAATCTGGTTGTAAAGGATCCAATTACATCATTGAAGAACTGGAACAAAAATAAAAGAGTGTTAAAATAGTAATATAATTAGTTATGTGTGACAATCATTAAATACTAAATAAAAGGTTTGTAGAAATGCATTTTTTATCATAATCATGAAAGCTTTTGCAATTTCTGGTGATTATGGCTAAACCCAGAGCGATTTTAACATCCTATTCTGAGGTGAGGTGGATTATACTATCTGTATGTTTTTGTTCCTGCCGTGACTCTTTTCCATTTCATCTTTCTTTGTTTTGGACTTTCTAGTCCTTGCTATTTATAGCTCTTCATTCATTGCATAGTGATCTCCAGTTCTTAGCATATCTGTACGTAGCTGTCTTAGCATATGTCCAATTAATTCTAAGTGGAAGGACTTTCTGTTTCTGATTAAGTTTTTCCCCTTTAATTTTTGTTCAATTTTGATATTTCTTTTCATTCTGGTTTCTTATAGGTACCTTTATTCATGAGTCCATGTCCTGAAACGCTGCTGGATCAAAGAAGACAAATTTAGAAGCGATACAAATGCAGACAGTCACACTCTAAGAGAAATTAATAAAACTGTTTCGTAGGCAATCAGGAGAGATTTAAGGAAATTTTAAACCGATAATATTAAACGTACTATAGAGGAACATAACAGCCCAAAAGTTCTACGTAGAAAGCCAATGAAAGCTATGCTTTTGCATAAAAAGAAGATAAAATGGACCTAGAAAATTATAAACCTATTCGCCTGTTAAAATACATGTACAAGCTCTTCACTAGGTAGTGACATCAAGATTGGAGAAAAAATTAGATTTCTACTAACCGAGAGAGCAGGCAGAATTCCGTTCAAATTATGGTACCAATCATCACCTCCATAAATAGATGATAAAACCCGACTAATAAAAATAAAACGTGGGATAAGGCAAGCAGATACGTTGTTACCGAAATTATTCACAACGGCATTAGAGTATGCCTTTAAGATGTTCAAATGGGACCACAGAAGAGTAACAATAGACGGCGAAAAGCTAACCATCTCTATTTCGCAGATGACATTGTCCTTATCACAGATAATTTAGAAGAAGCTACAGATATCTTAAATGAATTGGACTTTGCATGTTTGAATGTGGACCCCAGGATGAACTTAATCAAAACTAAAGTAAAAGTTTATGACTTAAGTATGTAAGTATGGTCCCCATTAACCACTTAAATATTCAAGACAAAGTGGTAGAACTGGTAAAGACATATACATATTTGGGTCATGAAATAAGAATCAGCAGGGATAACCATGTGGGGATAACAAAACCAAGACTACGGTTTCAAAATTAAGAGAAAAAACAGAGACGAATGGAACAATCTACGGTGGATTGACGTTGCGGGACCAAATAAGAAACGAAGATCTACGAAGTAGGATGAGTATTGCGGATGTTGTGGAATGCATCCTCCTCCTCCTCAGTCCTAAGCCCTTTTGGGATGTGGTGACACCATCAAGCCTTTACAGTTTTTTCACGATTTTTCTCCATCCTTTTCTGTCCTGGGCTAGTTGTTCGGCTTCATGTAACCCTTAGAGATCTTCCCCTAGGTCATCGTGGTTTTTCCATCGTGCCTGTGGAATACATACCGGAACTGAAATGGAACTGGACAGGCCATGTAGCGATAATATACAACTCACTATAGGCGAGCAAAATAACAAATTGGAGGTCAAGAGCAGACAAACGTGGTAGAGGAAGACCAACTGCACGTTGGGCTGACGACATCAGGTGGATCACCAAAAATTGCCAACAAAGAGCACAAAATCGTAAAGAATGAAGAAGTTTAAGGGAGGCCTATTTCCAGCAGTGGACGTGATACATAAAGGTGGATAATGATGATGGTGATACCTTTGTTACATTGGGCGCAAATAAAAATAGAAAATAAAACAACTACTTTAATTAGAATAGAAAAAGAATGCGACAGATAGTCAGATGTCTCTACTCTGCAGTATGCCTGATTATCTACCTTCTCTATAGAGGTGTGTAGCAAAATCCTCGTCCTACAATAACACTTTGAATGATCTCATTAGAGAGTTGGTAAGAACCATACCTCCAAGTTCTGAAATACATATTGGACACAAAAAAAGGGTCTGAAGGTTAACTGCTTAGCTTTTGCTGATGATCTGATTCTTTTGACTAATTATATCAGTGAAAAAAAAGTATATTTAAAAATAGCATTCAATAAAACTGACTTCATTACAAACATCAAGAATGCATCCTTTTATACAAAAATATAATGAGAAAAAGTTATAAAAGAAGTATTTACCCTGGAGAATTCTCCAACCAAACACACAATGGTTCAGAGAATGCTGCCGTTGAAAATAGATTCAAAATTGGAAGGTGCATTATATCTGTGAAAAGACCTGTACAAAAGCAGAAGATTAGGTTTAAACTTAAAACTCTCCCAATATAATCAGTGATCAGATCATAAACTTTATATGCATCTGAATATTTAAATATGGCAAAGAAAAGGCCATTACATAACTTGATATATGAGATAGGAAAATTTTGAGAAACTTTATAGTATTAATCAAAGAAAATAAAGAATTTTACCATAGACACAATTATATGTTTATAAAGACTTGGAGGACATTATTATCTACAATAGGAAAAAACAGAGAATGTTTTTGTGGTCACCTAGAACGTATAAATTCTAAAAATTTACCCATCGCATTCACTTCTCAATCTTAAGATTATAATTTTATTCAAAATGAACCAGTCCCAGTCTCAACAAGATCTCAGAGACAAGTTGACATCTACTAAGAACCTTATCCCTCTCACTATCCCAGCACCTCGACCCGCTAGCAAGTGGCACCAAGAAAGGAAAGAAAATCATTCCATTAAAATGTAAACCTACTGACAGAAGAAATAAACTCAGTCATAAAAACAAGGAAAAAATGTTTGTGGCGCTTATATGGCGTATATTACAAACAATATAAAAGAAAAAACTTCAAAATGTCATCTATAAAAGACGAAGTCACAAAGAACAATAAAAAATAAAGCAACAAAACCAATGCCCTAATGTTTTAGTATATGATTTGTTCAAAATGAACAATGAAATTAAAAGTACACACCTATATCATGCTCAATCAGCAAATCACTAAAGAGCCACACAACAACTGGCTCATGCAGTGAGAGCTGTGCTACAACTACTACACTTATCAATGCTGAGGTGTAAGACCATCATGCCGACCATATGTTTGGTGATGCCCTGGAGAGCTAACTAACTCTGGGGCACTACAGCATTGACACGGTACACACTGAGGTGTCTGGTAGCATTTGTCCCAACTCATGGGACTACAAATGGAGACGAGACAAGCAAAGATAGCCAAAAGATGCCTAAAAAATATATAACATTTATGAATCAACCAATACAAATACTGTAAAGGGAAAAAGCAGATATTGTAAATATATGTTCATTCTTTTTTTGTTATTGATCTGTTTAAAGTATCTGGTTTCTTCCTAGGCCACGTGATGAAGGAACGAAAATATGAAATTTTAAGACTCATAAAGAAGGGAAAGATTCAAGGAAGAAGATCTGTTGACCAAAGGCAGAAGTCTTGGTTAAAGAATTTACGTGATTGAAGAGCAATTGGTTTTTATAGCAGCAAGTTAAAAGCCAACCTCAGTAAGGAGATGGACTCTAAAAAGAAGGCTAAGAAATTGTTTATTAGGAAATACAAACAAACAGGATCAGCACTAAAGGTAATGGTTTTAATAGGAAACCCCCAAAAAATTAGCGCAGGAACAGGTAACACAACAGGTAAAACTAGTCTTTAAATAGACAAAAAAGGTGTCAAAAATACTTAGCAAAAAAGAAATGTGAAAATCCTATTTGAGTCTGTTGTTATAGAGATGTGTGTTGAGTGGTTCTGTTCAATTTGCGAGGAAAAAATAATTAAAGACATGAGCCAATGTACCAAATGCCGTTCATTGAAACACAAACGTTGCAGGAGTCCAATCTGGGACTCAAACTTTTTCTTGCTTTGCTCAAACTGAATAATTTGTGATATTGAAGAATAAATTGTATTAAACAAAACATGATTAAAGGTATAAACACTAAAATTTATTTTATTATATACTGATCGTTCTATATAATATATATACTACGGTTACAATTAAGGAAACCCATGGTACATAAAGGCAACTAGTTTTCTAATTTGTACCACTTGCAACTTACCAGGAAAACGCTTTTTTAATAGTAAAATCAATGATATCAAGTTACCAAAAATTATCTCTTATCAGTATTGGCAACTCTCTCCTAGTAAGCAAAACCAAAATGTATGTCTTGAGATACATTTGTTCAATGTACAGGTTCAGTTCTTCTTTATATTACACATTTTACCATTTTTTCATTCTGCAACATATTTTTGCTTACTTGTACACTCTGTTTTTCTTCTTTTTGTCATTGGCAAATATTTATTGATATAATTAATCCATGGATTATAAATTTAACCACGTTCTTTTTTATTTTATTTAAGAAGTATAGTTTCTTATACTTCTTCTGAACAATATATTTTGCTTTTATCTGTACCTAATAAGGTTTGTCTCTGATTCTCCAATAAACATCAATAAATAAGTGTTTTTTAAAACACTTATTATTGATAGAGATAAATCACGAAAACTTTTACTAAACGACAGCAAAAATGTTTGTCAAAAATAACAAATATGAAGAAAATATTGTCGACAAAATCAATCATTTCTGTTAATCATATAATTGATTAATAAAAAAATTACCTGGTAAAATTAAAAAATCTCGTCAAAATAGAAGAATTATTGTCACTATCCCGTCACAACCGTTTTAGCGAACTGTCCCAGCACCTGTCACTAGCCCACTAAATACAAATACCAACTCTATTAGCACAAATGAAGATGAAGACACCTCAGAAACAGTCTGTGCTATAATATAACTGACAGATAGGCCCAAGGTGCAGTTCGTTTCC